TTTTTTTTTTTTTTTTTTTTTTTTTGGTTTCGTACGAAAAAGGATCGATTCTTGAAAATTTGCAAAAATGGTAATTTCGAGTTTAGCGAGTTTACTTGACGAATTTTACTAGAATTCTGGAATGTTTAGATTAAAGAGGATTTTTTTTTTATAGAATTTCTATACAAATTGAATTTTGGAAGTGGATTTCCTTCTTTTCGATTTTGGATTTAATTTCTTTAAGAGATCGGATTAATATCTATAAAAAGATGATTGGATTTTTTGGTACGAAGAAGAATTAAATTTTTGGAAATTTTGAGGATTTTTGATGGAGTTTATTTTGGAAACGAGTGTCTAAATTATTTTGACTTATTGATATCTTTGATAGAACGAATGGATCTTTTGATACGAAGAAAGCTTTCAGAGACTTTTGAAAATTTGATTAAGACTATGAAGTTTAACCTACAGAAAATTTTATAATTTTAGGTTGAATTTTGAGTTGAACGGAATTTGAAAAGAATTGAATAATACAATTAGAAACGTACTTATTTTGTGGATCTTCTAACTTCAATATTAAGCGGTGATTTTTTATTTTTTATCTTTTGTTTGCGTTGATACCTTCGGAAAATGAAATTGTCGTCTCCTTTGAGGCGAAGGATGATAAAAAATCAGAAAATATTAAATTAAATTGTAAACTGTGAATTTGAAGAGAACAGAGTATTTCGATTATGATTCAAGATCCTCAGAATTAACAGAAAGGCAATTTATCTGTACCTATCGATGTTCATGAAATAAGAAAACTTAAAATATAACCTATTATTAAAATACAGCGAACATTAAAATAAATTGATCGATTAATTATAATTGAAATAATATTATCCATTTCTTCCTACAATTTTTTTAAGAAATTGCTTTGAAACTAGTTTCGAAACCAGATCCATAGGTGGAATCTACGATTACTTTTTATTTCATTTTGAAGAGAAAAATTCTGGAAAATGTTTCTTACCAGCGGTGATGTTGTTACTATAAATGATATAAGTGAGCAAAGAAAATAAGTAATATAAAGGAAGAAAACTCAGGCGAGAGATTCTTATAGTTGTTGCAGAGTTCTTTGAAGAGGAACGCTCATTGAGCAGGT